TAATTATCATTAAAGTTGTCCAACAATAAACCATCTTTCCAAGCAGCCTCCATGTCTCCAGAGTCTTCTTCCCCACTTGGAGCTGAACCCAGAAGGACATTTCTTTCAACACTTTATTATTGACTTTAATGCAAGTCACACTATATACTTTTTCTCCAAGCAAAATTTATTGTCAACAACTTTAATGATAATTAAGTAACCTACTGTTCCCAGAAATTCAATTTGCATTAGATCAGGAGGGCTGGATGGAAGGCATCAGTTGAAGAAGACTAATACAACAGCCTAGAAACCTTATTTGTCTTTTCAGCTCCAAAAGAAATGTGGATTTGGGCTCTAGGTATCAGTTAAGCCAATGAAGGGACTACATCACATGGGATGAAAAGATGAGTCAGTCTATATATTTATACTTAGCTTTCATGCTTATGTATACTGCATTATAATAGCATTACTTACCAAATTGGCCATGTAAATTGTAAGCAACCCCCGCCTATAAACCAAAACAAAAAAAGACAGAATAATTATTAGGGCATTCAAAACTCATAGTATTATCATATCAAACACAATGCATTCAAGAATTCTGTCATATTTAAAAGGGAATTCTGTTAACAATCAAAGCAATGGAAATGCCATCCTGTTCCTTCAGTGGTATTACTATATACCACGGGTGTAAAACTTGCTGTGTCATGTTGATGTCACGTGACGTTTCATGACTTAATTTTTGCCTTTGTGGAGCTGGTGTGGGTATGGTCTGCGCATGACGCATCCTGCCCACTGTTTTGACCCAGGCTTCCTGAGAGCATGAAGCAAACTCCTGGTCCTGACAAAAAACCCTTTTTATTAATTTGCTGTGAATTCTGCTCATTCACATCCAGCAAAATCTTTCAAGGGAGGATTTACCATCACAGACCTTATCTGACTTGGAGAGCTGCCAGGCCGATATCTGCAAAACCTGGCAAGGAATCTCAGAGAGTCAGGAACCAATTAAGCAAACTCATTGTCTCCTGCAAACTCCCCTCCCCTTTCACTCTTCTTTTATTTCTCTGGGAGGGGCCATTCATCATCCACCTGTGGCCTTACTCCCAAGTCGGCCCCTGTTCTTTAGTTGTTCCCGTCTTCTGGCAACTCTGTGCATGCACACATGGGAAACAGGCTCCAGCTGTCGTCTGCCTCACTGATGTCTGACTATGAAGGCAGCTGATACCTGGTATACGGCTCTGGTCCCCTCTCTGCCTCCGACACAGAGCCCTCATCAGAGCCTTCCCCAGACTCCAGGACTGGCCCATGTTCCTTCCCAACCTCCCCATTGTCCAAATCTGCTGCCAGCTGTGCTGGCTACTGGCTGGCCACAATACCTGCAAGTCACCAGTTTAACACCCCTGCTATATACAATAAACCTGCTGGTTGATGTGATCAAACTTGCTGTTGTTATTGTTAATTCTTACTTAAAGAATGCTCAGTAAATACTTAACCCTAAGCTGTACCTGTACGAGTTTTAACACAAAGCGTAAGAATTTGTGGTGGGATGTATTCTGGAGTCACAGGAGGGACGGGCTCTTCCCCAGTGGGCAAAGAGACACAGAGCTAGAATGTGTGGTGGGCAGAAGAGGACAAGGACGGATCTTCCCTAGCTATTCACAGAGTGTATCTATAATTATGCAAACAATTGCTTTAGTCTGGCAAGATTCTGTCTGTAGGCAAACAACAGTAAAGAAACTGTTCTTGCTTCCTTCTTGCCTCCACCAGTGGGTGCTCCATCACTGGAGGTTTTCAAGAAGAGATTGGGCAACCATTTGTTTGTTTTCACATACACAATGCCCTTAGTTTCATCTGGATGGGGCTGGGAAAATCCCCATTGGAAATCTGAAAAGCTGCTGCCAACTTGTGTCGACAACACAGGCATGTATAGAAGCGGTAATCTCATTTAAGGTAAGGCAGCTTCTTTCGTTCCTATCTCATGATTTTTATCTTGATACAGTTGCAAAGTTGTTCAATTTATTAAAGTTCATTGCCAAAGATATCCAATTAAGTTCTTAAGACAGATGCACTCTCACAAAACAGGGCTTGTGTATTGTAGAATACGATAAGAGCAATAGCACTTAGATTTATATACCACTTCACAGTGCTTTACGCCCTCTCTAAGTGGCTCAGGATATTGCCCCCAACAATCTGGGTCCTCATTTTGCCGACCTCGGAAGGATGGAAGGCCGAGTCAACCTTGAGCCAGTGAAAATCAAACTGCTGGCAATCGGTAGAATTTGCCTGAAATAATGCATTGTGACCACTATGCCACCACTGCTCCTTTACAGTAATGCAGTGCTGTAAACTTTTACAGTTGATAAAAGGAAAGGGGGCAAAATGTATTGTACCAACAAATAAGGTAAAGGTTTCCCTGTCCAGTCATGTCCAACTCTAAGGCTCATCTCCACTTCTTGGCCAAGAGAGCCAGCATTGTCCAAAGACATTTCTGTGGTCATGTGGCCAGCATGTCTATATGCAAAGACGCATGGAATGCTGTTACTTTCCCACCGGTGGTACCTATTTATCTACTCCCATTTGCATGCTTTTGAACTGCTAGGTGGGCAGCAGCTGACTAAGGAACAGGAGCTTACCCCATTGCGTGGCGCTTGGATCTTGACCCAGGCGGTCAGCTTTCCAGCTGACAAGTTCAGCATCTTTAACCACTGAGCCCACACGCCCCCACCAAGAAGGAAGCACCTACAAATCCTGCACAACAATTCTACTCCTTCTGGTTCTGATGAATGCCCATGTTACTGTGCAGAAATCCGTCCCATGCTGTATTTCTGCTAAAGAAAAACACCATTCACAATGCACCTATTACAAGGACAAATCTTTGTATACATTGGCTCCAACAGGAGGCAGCTTATATGGCTATTTTTTTTTTTAACATGAACTTTAATTGAATAAAACTGTTTGCAACAGGGCTCCTTCAGAAGATAGAATCTAATCTATAAACAGAGCCGCTGAAAAAAGTTAAATATAGAAGTTAACCTGTGCAACTAAATCAAACGCAAAAAAAAAATTTATGGCGACCTCAAACTCATAATCAAATCAAGAAATTGCCGATTTATCCTCTGGACAGCTGCCTAAGTGATTGGCCCACAATCCCATATCTGGAACTGCGATGGGATTGTTGGGAGGGAAGTCTGAAATAACAAAGCATTACAGTTGATGTTTAGATTATGCTTAATCACTCACACCCAACTATTTCCTTCTTTCAACTGAAGTCTGACAGAGAGACCCCGGTGCAAAAGTTCACCAAAAACCAACAAGAACAGCTAAGCTTCAAAATAAGAGGACTGAAAATGCAGAGAGGGACAGGGAAACTTCAATCCAAACAGAACCCTGGTAGTAAAACCGTAGTGAAAGGACTTGTAGTGAAAACAAATACCTATCACAAGGTATGGTTTACGGATTCCCCATCGGTAAATCCAAGAAACAATTTCAAACAGCTTAAAGCCACTTTTGCACAATGTTGCCTCCACATTGTAAGTTAGAATACCGCAAAAGATGTATTTAAGGTAGCTATTCGTCTTAGCAATGAAGCGAAATAAGGACTCCCTGAAATACTGAAAAGGGTTGTAGAGTTTATCAAAACATGAAGGACAAAAATGCACTGAAGTATTGTGTTTGAAATATTAGAAAAACTCGACAATGCTGCATTGTTACATATACATATAATTACATCTATTAGCATTGTACGTGAATTTTCATTTAAAGATGAACTTGACGTACCTGATATTGTTAGTGTGCCCATTACTTTACGCAAACCAAACTTTGCTGCGGATAACATTGACAGAACATTTACAGGATTACTATCCAATTGATAGATGTATATCTGGCGAATGAGGCCACCGTAGGAGGACAAATTATATATTGTAAAAGATCGTTTGGAGGTGGGAGATACTTCCAATGTAATCTACCAGATCCCTTGTATGGATGGCCCCATGTAGGGCAGACGGGGAGAAAGCTAACCACCAGATTGCAAGAACACAAGTGGGCGGACAGAGGAGGAGACCCGAACTCATTGGTAGCCTCACATTGCAATGAACAAGAACGCACATTTAATTTTGCTGCACTAAGATTGTCGGCCGAGCAGGTACAAAGATAGCCAGGAAAACAATTGAAGCCTGGGAAATGGGCCCCTTGTCAGTCAACAGGAGTGTTGAATTACCACCAGCCTATCAAATACTTAGGAGCCAAGGGCTCGGCAGCCCAAGAAAATGACAGCCAATCAACAGCCCTCAACACACTAATCAGCCAATCAATAGGAAGGAACCACATAAGCACGACTCACAGAACAGCCCAAAGTATATATTCCGGTAGAGGGAAGTTCCCTGAAGATGGGCTCCAGCACGAGTCCGAAAGCTCGGAAGAGTACATCCCTGATCCCGGTGACCAACCCAGATTCGATCTCTCATTAGTTGTATAACTGTCTCTCATGGTCTCCTCTGTTAACCGTAATACATTTGTTAGCTAGCAAGTGTATAGCTATGCTGCATATTATTATTTATAATTTAGAATACAATAGCAGAGTTGGAAGGGACCTTGGAGGTCTTCTAGTCCAACCCTACAGGAAGCCCTACACCACTACACCACTTCAGACAAATGGTTATCCAACATCTTCTCAAAAGCTTCCAGTTCACAACTTCTGGAGGCAAATTGTTCCACTGATTAATTGTTCTAACTGTCAGGAAATTTCTCCTAAATTCTAGGTTGCTTCTCTCCTTGATTAGTTTCCACCCATTGCTTCTTGTCCTGCCCTCAGGCGTTTTGGAGAATAGCTTGACTCCCTCTTCTTTGTGGCAGCCCCTGAGATATTAGAAGACTGCTATCATGTCTCCCCTAGTTCTTCTTTTCATTAAACTAGACATACCCAGTTCCTGCAACGGTTCTTCATGTTTTAGCCTCCAGTCCCCTAATCCCCTTCGTTGCTCTTCTCTGCACTCTTTCCGGAGTCTCCACATCTTTTTTACATTGTGGTGACCAAAACTGGATGCATTATTCCCAGTGTGGCCTTACCAAGGCATTATAAAGTGGTATTAACACTTCACGTGATCTTGATTCTATCCCTCTGTTTATGCAGCCTAATTGACATCACATAATTACCAATGTAGGAAATTGTGTCTGATTTTTGTAATCATTTTTTCTCTTTATCTTTTTTCTTTCTGACATGGCATCAAGGTTGCATGCCTTACTCCTCAAGAAGCATAATCATGCTATTTCTGTCAAAGTCCTCTTTCTTAATAAACTACAGGTTTGCCTCATTTTAATTAAATTCATGTTCTCTAAATTTGTTATTATGCGACTAATGACTTTTATCCCAGAATTGGCCCCTCTGCAATGTTCCTCTCTCCTGCTGCGGTTTTAATTTAAACTGAATTAGTTTTTAGCCTTTAATTAAATAAATTAAATTATTCTTTATTCCTTTTGTGTCTCTACCGCTTCCTGGAGCACAAAATATTTGATTTGATACTGCTCTAGGGGGGGGGGGGGAAGAACTGCTATAATGCAACTTGCAACACAGGCCTGGAAACACGGCCAGACGTTTCACCTAAATTCATCCCAATAGATGCATCCATATTTAAGTGAAAGTGTACAAAACTGATGAACAAAGTCGAAAGGGTATTGGAGGAAGGTTACAAAGCAAAGAGGCAATAATAATAATAATAAGCCTGGTCTGTGAAAACAACCGACTTTCTCTCCTTTCCCTTTTTGTAACACCACCAAAGAATCAAGATATTTAGAAGATGAGAAAAGAAACTCCTACATCTTTGGTGTATGAACAATCATCTAAAAATTCCCAGGACCTTTACGAAAACTGCTTCAATGGTCAAAGGCTTTTGACCATCTTCTAGGCAGTGAGTGGGAGCATTTCAAAGAAAAGACAAATTGACTGAAAGCTCCCCACATGTATTTTTCAGTAACATGCAGGCGTTTCTCCTTTGTTCTTCTTCACGGATAATATATATGTTTTCGTAGATTCTCACGGGTGTAGGTATGCTGGTCTTGTATTCGGGTCTTTTCCTGTGTGAGATTGAGATTGTCTTGGCAACATTTCGGCGACGTCTCACTCGCCATCCTCAGGGACACTTTAAGCCGAAAACACCAGCCTGAGAATGGCGAGTGAGACCTCGCCGAAACGTTGCCAAGACAATTTCAATCTTACACGGGAAAAGACCCGAATACAATAAGACCAGTATATACATACATACATACATACATACATACATACATACATACATACATACAATACAATACAATACATACATACACACACACACACATATACACACATACACAAACACACACAATTACAGATTAACAGAGTTGGAAGGGACTTTGTAGGTCATCTAGTCTAGTCCACCACCACCCCGCCCAAGCAGACCCTACACCATTTCTGACACATGGCAGTCCAGTCTCTTCTTGAAAGCTTCTAGGTGGGTTGTGTGTGTGTGTGTGTGTGTGTGTGTGTTGTAGGGGGGAGGGATTGGGCTAGACGACCTACAAGGTGCCTTCCAACTCTGTTAATCTGTATATGTGTGTATGCCTGTATGCACACACACATGTATACACTATATATACTACTATACCCACCTGAAAGCTATTGTGTTCGTGTGTGTGTGTGTATAGCAGTGTGAGAGGGTGTATGTATACACACGCACACACTACACACAGACACACACACACACACTACTATACCCACCTGGAAGCTATCGTGTGTGTGTGTGTGTGTGTGTGTGTGTGTGTGTGTGTGTGTGTGTGTGTGTGTGTGTTTATTTCCATTCTGATTTTGCTTTTTTGCCAAGCACACAATATCATATTGTCACCTCCAGAGTCATCCCATTCCATTGCAGCTTTAATGGTAGGTATAATCCCCAAGGCACCAAATACCCTTAGCTGTTACAAAAGCCAAGAGCTGTGTACCATTTTTTGTTCACTGTGAGAAACAGCATGTTTAACTGTCTCAATAAATTACGAAAATGTGCTTGTGTTTTGGAACATTTGTTCTCCTTCCTGAGGAAAGATAAGAAACTAAAACAAAAGTTTAATTTCCTGGTCATCAAGAGGTCGTCAGGCACTAATTAAAAAATAATATTTTTATTTAAAGTAAAACAGAGATTCCCACTGTGGGAATATGGATGTCTGACATACTATCTTAGAGAGAGAAAGGGAGAGATCTTCCTTCACCACCAAGGATGTTTTTATCAATAGCATCTATTAATTTGTTATTTAGTATAGAATGCTCAACAACAGCTCACCAGACAGACAAATTACAACAACAAAAAAGCCTGTTCCTGGATCAAAATGATATGTAATTACATTTTATAATGTCTGAAATGAGAAATAACATATTGATTTTTTTCTGCAATGCACTAGGTACCACTATAATGTTAACAGGCACAAAGTAAATACTTAATTCTACCTAGAGGATACTTGAAGGGGGACGAGAGGGGAAAAAAAAACACAAACACACACACAATTAGGACTCTTAAGTAGCCAGAATCACTGGCTTCTTAGCATTACTTAGAACTACTGAAAATCTGGTCTAGGATGACCAAAGCTACTTCTCAAGATGGAATTCATTAAATTTTCAGCAACAGAACCTGAAGTGATCTCATTATTGCAGATAATATTCCTTGGGGGCCACTGTGTGAAGCAAGCCTCAAACCTACTCCACAAAATATCATGCTGTGTGGTGCATTTGCTTCTGTCTGGACATGGATAATGTATTTTTCAGACTATAAGACGCACCTAAATTTACAGGAGGAAAACAATAAAAAAATAGTTTTTGGCCTCCGCGCATTGTGTTTTCACCCTCCCCAGCCCCCAAAAGCACCCTGAGGTGGTCTGCACATCCCGTGTTTGCCCATAATGGACTGTTTTCACCAAAAATGGACTCATTTTTGGGCTCCCAAGCCCTCCACGCATCATGTTTTCTCTCTCCCAAGCCCACGGAAGCGCTCTGCAGTGCTCCGCACAGCTCGTTTTTGCCCAAAACGGGCCCGTTTTCACCAAAAAAGCCACCCGTTTTTGGCCTGCAGAATGTTTCTGGGGGCGGAGAGGGTGAAAACCTGATGTGTGGAGGGTTCAGGAGGCCAAAAATGCCCGTATTCGGTCTATAAGAGGCGCCTAAAGTTTCACCCACTTTAGGGGGGAGGTGCATCTTATACTCCGAAAAATACGGTAAGTACATCAGGCCCAGAGTTCTTGCAAATTGCAGATCTGTGCACACCTCACTCTGCAGAGTTTCCAAAGGGGTTTAAATACAATTATGACTAGAATTTTTTCCAGAAGAGGGGGAGGGAATGGTCACACGTGGGTTATTCTCAAAGCCTGATTGGTCCAAAGACTGAGAGAAAACGCTTAAATTCTGGTGCCTCCCAGTCCTATCCCAGTTTCCTCTCAGTCTTTTCTGGTCCAAGAACTGTTGAGAATTACTGATAGGATTTACTTTATTCAATTTGGTCTCATTTGGTTTAATTGGGCATTTTAAAAGGTTTCTAAAGTACTAAATTCAGCAGCTGCGGCCCCAAGGGACAGTTTACTGCCCCGGGTGGTGGGGGAGGGCCCCGTGGGGCATGCTGCCTCCCCCCCGCAGGCCCAGAGCCTCAGCCCGACCCCTGGGGTTGCGGGGGTGCCAGCTCTCTT